GGGGGGGGGGGCTGCGGCATCCAAACGAGAAGGGGGACAGCTGGGCGCGACTGGCTGCCTGCGATCCAAGGCGGTGGTTGGTTCTTTCTTTCCCTTTCCATACCGCCCCGTTAGTGTTGCCACTCTCTGGGCGGGTCACAACGCAGAGTAAAAACAAACAAACAATATAGTAAGACAATATCCAGTAAAATACAATGATTGAGAGGAACAATCCAAGGCGGTGGTTGGTTCTTTCTTTCCCTTTCCATACCGCCCCGTTAGTGTTGCCACTCTCTGGGCGGGTCACAACGCAGAGTAAAAACAAACAAACAAACAATATAGTAAGACAATTTCCAATAAAATACAATGATTGAGAGCAACGTCCAAAACGGGTGCGTGCCAGAGTCCACCGTTTTTCAAGCTGGGTTGCATGGATCACCTCCTTAGGAAGGATCCCAGGAGGGGAGGTGGCGCAGGTCCCGCTCCCTCCGCGCAGCGGCATTCAGGCAGCCCCGGGGGGCGCAGGCAGGGGCGCCACGTGCCTCGAGCGCGCAAATCGCCCGGGCGGAGGACAGGAGCAGCGAAGCAGAAACGGTTTTCGAGGCGTGCCGCGGAACTTTTCTCCTGAACTCGTTTTGCCCTAAGGGAAAAGGAGCCTGAAGCTGCAAAAAGACGGACTGTATGGCGGAGCCCTTTTATCGTCCGGTCATCCCGGGGTGCGGTGGGGCGGCGGTGATAAACCGATGATTAAATAAGTTTTGCTGACTTTCCCCTTTTAATTGTCATGACTTCCTCCCGCGTCACACCGGCATATTCATTGATTCCGCTCTGCCGGGACAGTGGGTGTGATTCACACCCAAGGCTATCCCTTTCCTTGGACGCTGTGTCACAGTGATCCGGAGATATTAAAAGTCTAGTGGACGAAAGGTGAGACTTCCTCCCGAGAAAACACATACCAGGGATGGGTCCTCTCTCTCCCTCCCTCCCTTCGGCGAGCGCACCTCGGACCCAGAAGCACGCCCACCGCCGACTTTCTCCCTTTGGGGAAAGTGAAGTTTGTTTTATACTGCGCGGGCCGGAGAAAGGAAGGCGCCCCCACCAGCCCCGGGTGCCGACGTGTAACGCGCCCGTTGAAACACCCGGGCTTTTCCCCTCCCGGCCAGGCGCGACCTCCCCTTAGTCAGGCTCGGGTCCTCCGTCGCAGG